GGCCCAGGTGGTGTCGCTGTTCTTTATGTTGCGGAGCTTCTTGATTGTGCGCAGGCGGTCCTGGATGAACTGGCTCTTGATCGCCATGCCCTTATTGATACGGAACGCCAGGTCAATGCACGTTGCACTGGCTTTGCGCCACCATCTAGAAAGCCGTGTCCCCTCCGCCGCGGCATTAGGCGTGTTGCGGATGGACGCGACCAGTTTCATGTTGGGCTCGTCCAAGTCCCCCCTGCCCTAGTACTGCCTCGCGCTCTCTGCTGAGATCTGGTAGCTGTCGATGAGCTCCGTTTCGGCATTGCTGACCCACAGGGCATAAGCCCATGTGAGGTCATCTGGGTCACGCACCAGTTTAGCTTCCCGCAGTACGTCGTGATAGGAGGGCGGTGGCCGAGGAGCTCCCGCTGGGAGCTGCCGCGGCCAAGGCTTGGGCAGGCACATCTGCTGCGCCAGAACCGAACCAGCTCCTCGGGCAATGGTGATGGCGACGCCCCAGCGGGTGGCAATGGGCAGGCCCTTGAGCTTGTAGATGGATCGTACAATGCCCCTGATGGTGTCGGAAACGAGGAAGGGGTCGATCGTTCTGCCTCTTCCTGCCATGCAGGTCCAGGTAATAGGCGCCACGATCGTCGCTGGGAAATTCTTGAGCTCCCCCAAGTTCATGAGCTCCTGGGGTGTCATATTCCAGTCGGCTCCGAGCACAAGGGGCCGTCCAACCGCCTCGATCCACATTAAGACGTCGCGTAGCAGTATTTGGTTATAGATCTCCACGCCCGTGCCAGTGAAGAAATAGCACGAGACGAAGTAACATCCTCCTGGAGCCATGCCTTCGCATAACTGGGCTGCGAAGCGCTCTGGTTGCGGCTGCTGCAACCCTCGCCCCAGTGACGGTGGGGCAGCAGTAGCAATATCCGATAGCATGGCAATTCCCACGCCAGCCGAGGCAGCATGATCTGTTTTGCCCAGTTTGGCGGCCGAAAGGGAGGCGTGCCAACCTTCCCTCTTCAACCTGGCAACGGTGCTACCAACGCCGTCGCCAAGGAGCTTGTTCTCTTGAATCGCCATACCCTTAGAAATTCCATCGAGCGAGCACCTCGCCCACTGCGGAGATCTTCTGGCCCTCGGCCTGGACCGACGTGACGTTCACAGTAGCCAGCTTCCAAGTTCTGGGTCCCCTCACTTCGGCTCGTTGCACCACTTGTGGAGGCTCCTGCGAGTGGAGGCGCACGCTGCGAGACGTCCTGGGCCGTTCAGCCTGGGGGAGCACCGTGGTGTGCGTGGTGCTGCCTCTGTGATCGCCAAGGGGAGGATCTCGCAGTGTGTGTGAGCGGTCACGCCGTGGAAAAACGTTCCTTTGGAAATTCACAGTGAGGTCTACGACGGAGGTTGTGGAGGCGCACGCTGCGAGACGTCCTGGGCTGTTCAGCCTGGGGGAGCACCGTGGTGTGCGTGGTGCTGCCTCCGTGATCGCCAAGGGGAGGATCTCGCAGTGTGTGTGTGTGTGTGTGTGTGTGTGTGTGAGCGGTCACGCCATGGAAACACGTTCCTTTGGAAATCCACAGTGAGGTCCACGACGGAGGTTGGATGAGGAGGAGGAGGAAGAAAAAGAAACAGGAAAAGAAGAAGAGGAGGAGGCGGAGGCGGATGAAGAGGAGGAGGATGAAGAGGGGCGGAGGGAGGAGGAGGAAGAGGAGGAGGAGGCGGAGGAGGAGGAGGAGGCGGAGGAGGAGGAGGAGGAGGACGTTCGAAGACATCCGTTTGAGGACCCTGAAGCATGCCAAAACATTGTTCCCGGTATCCCAACGCAGCGGATAAACATGGCTGTTGCGTCTTGACGACCCTGAATCATGCCAGAACGACATTCCTGGAAATCAGCACGAATCATCGTAATTGCTGCGCCCCCATAATCGTGAGCCCTTCCAGAAAACAAAAACATGTCTGGTACTTCGATCATGGGAGTCCGTGGAACTCTTTTAGATTCTCAAACAAGAATGTACGCGGCGTTAAGGCGAGAGCCACATTCTGAAAACGACCCGCCCTCAATCCGTGAAAGTCTTCCAAGTTTGAAAACGAATGTGCGCGGCGCAAAGGCAGAGCTACATTTTGAAAACCACCCGCCCTCAAAACGTGAACGTCTTGCAAATTTTGGCAGCGAATGTGCGCGGCGCTACGGCGAGAACCACATTCTGAAAACGACCCGCCCTCAATCCGTGAATCTTTTGCGAATTTAGACAACGGATGTGCGCGGCGCTAAGGCGAGCGCCACATGTTGAAAATGACCCGCCCTCAATCAGTGAAAGGCTTGCAATTTTTGAAAACGAATGTGCGCGGCGCTAAGGCGAGAGCCACATTTTGAAAACCTCCCGCCCAGAATCCGTGAAACTGGCAATGTTAAAGCTTCAAGGTCATAAATGGTGAAGAAGTCTCGGGCGAAACGCCCGGCCCGCCCCAAAAACTGGCTCCGGGGTGCGACAGGGGGAAATTATTCAAAAGGAGAAGGAATGGAGGAAGAGGAGGAGTAACTCGGGGGAGGGAGGGGGTGGAGGGGGTGGGGGAGTGATGAAGCAGGAATCAGGAGGAGGGAGGAGGTGGGATGAGGAGGAGGCGGACCAGCGTACACCCAGGGCGCATCAACGCTGTTGCAATAAACCCTCGCTTCAAGTTCTCTCTTCGTAGGTCCCTGCATTGAGGGACGTGCCCCATTGGGAGACAACCGTTTGAAGATCCGGAAGCGTGACACAACAGCATTCTCGGGATTTTAACGTCACGAAGAAACGTGACTGGTCAGTCTTGAAGATCCTGGATCGTGCCAGAACGTCGTTCCTGGGACTCAGCACCGCGAATCAGCGTAACTTTGGCCTCCTGACAATCCTGAGTCGTTCCAAAATGCAATTTCAGATGCGTTAGCCATGGGGATCCATGGAACTTTTGCAACTATTAATGCTCGAGTGTGCGTGGCGCTAATGTGAGAATTCCGTTTTGAAAAGGAGCCGCCCTGGATCCGTGAAACCCTTGCGATTTTTAAAAGGAATGTGCGCGGAGCTACGACAATAACCACATCTTGAAAACGACCCGCCTTGAATCCGTGAAACTCCTTGCAAATTTTAAACGAGTGTACGCGGCGCTAAGGCGCGAGCCACATTTTGAAAACGACCCGCCTTGTGAAATTATGGCAAGTTTTCAAATCGAATGTTCGCGGCGCTAGGGCGATATCCACATTTTGAAGTCGAGCCGCCCAGAATCCGTGGAAATCCTTTACACATGTTTGAAACGAATGTGCGCGGTGCTGAGGCGAGAGCCATGTTTCGAAAACAGCCCGTTCTCCATTCGCGAAACGATCCTCGATTTTTAATTTAAGCGTCACGGTCATAAATGGTGAACAAGTCTCAGGCGAAACGCCCGGCCGCTCTTTCGACCAACCTCTGGGTGCGACAGGGAAGAGTTATTTGTTAGAGGCTGACGCCATTCCGTCGTGCCCCAGAGAGGGAAGAAGTCCACTGTGAGGCTTCCGGGGGCCTTTGAGATACCATTTCCGCAGCCTTGGGGGCCTCTTGCGGGCCTCTTCGGGGATTCTTTTGTGGGCTCTTGTGTGCCTGCTGGCGGTCTCGGGGGCCCTCAGGGAGGAGCTATTTGTAAGGAGGAGGGGGAGGAATAATAATAGTAAGGAAAATCATACTAATAATCAGAAATAACATAGACATACTCATTACAATAACAATAAGAAGAGGATGATGAGGAGGAGGCGGAGGAAGAGGAGGATGAAGAGGGGCGGGGGGAGGAGGAGGGGGAGGAGGAGGAGGAGGAGTAGCAGTAGCAGTAGCAGTAGCAGTAGCAGTAGCAGTAGCAGTAGCAGTAGCACTAGCACTAGCAGTAGCAGTAGCAGTAGCAGTAGCAGTAGCAGTAGTAGTAGTAGTAGTAGTAGTAGTAGTGGTGGTGGTGGTGGTGGTGGTGGTGGTGGTGGTGGTGGTGGTGGTGGTGGTGGTGTAGTAGTAGTAGTAGTCGTAGTCGTAGTCGTAGTCGTAGTCGTAGTAGTAGTGTAGTCGTAGTCGTAGTCGTAGTCGTAGTCGTAGTCGTAGTCGTAGTCGTAGTCGTAGTCGTAGTAGTCGTAGTCGTAGTCGTAGTCGTAGTCGTAGTCGTAGTCGTAGTAGTAGTAGTAGTAGTAGTAGTAGTCGTAGTAGAGTAGTAGTAGTAGTAGTCGTAGTAGTAGTAGTAGTAGTAGTCGTAGTAGTAGTAAGTAGTAGTAGTAGTAGTAGTATAGTAGTAGTAGTAGTAGTAGTAGTAGTAGTAGTAGTAGTTGGTGGTGGTGGTGGTGGTGGTGGTAGTAGTAGTAGGTCGTAGTCGTAGTCGTAGTAGTCGTAGTCGTAGTGTAGTCGTAGTCGTAGTCGTAGTCGTAGTCGTATCGTAGTCGTAGTCGTAGTCGTAGTCGTAGTCGTAGTCGTAGTCGTAGTCGTAGTCGTAGTCGTAGTCGTAGTCGTAGTCGTAGTCGTAGTCGTAGTCGTAGTCGTAGTCGTAGTCGTAGTCGTAGTCGTAGTCGTAGTCGTAGTCGTAGTCGTAGTCGTAGTCGTAGTCGTAGTCGTAGTCGTAGTCGTAGTCGTAGTCGTAGTCGTAAGTCTAGTAGTAGTCGTAGTAGTAGTAGTAGTAGTAGTAGTAGTAGTAGTAGTAGTAGTTAGTAGTCGTAGTAGTAGTAGTAGTAGTAGTAGTAGTAGTAGTAGTAGTAGTAGTAGTAGAGAGGAGGAGGAGGAGGAGGAGGAGGAGGGGAGGAGGAGGAGGAGGAGGATGGGAGGTGGAGGTGGAGGTGGAGGAGGAGGTGGAGGAGGAGGAGGAGGAGGAGGAGGAGGAGGAGGAGGAGGAGGAGGAGGAGGAGGAGTGCGGCGGGCGGGCCGAGGGAGGAGGGGGGCGACGGGGCCACGAAGCGGGCGAGGGCGAGGGAGCGGCCCGGCCTGCGGGTCGGAGGGGCCCCACGCGGGCGTGCCGCCGCGCGCGGGCCTTGCCGCGCCGAGGCGGAGCTGGCCGCCGCGGCGTCCGGGACCGCGCAGCTGCTGGAGCAGCTGAACGGTTGCGGCCCAGGCCCCGCGCTGCTGCTTGTGCCCGGCGCGGGCATGCAGGCGGAGAGCCTGCGGCCGCTGGCGCAGTGCCTGCCCTTGCCGGCCTACGGGGTCTCCTGGCCCAGGGGCGCGCTGCCGCGGGAGCGGTGGCCGGCGACGCTGGAGGAGCTGCCTTTCCCAGTCGTGCTCGCGTCGCAGGAAGCAGTCACGACGGGAGGTGTTTGGCAATTGTTGGCCTCCGGGGGCCCCCGCTGGGCCCCAGGAGCGCCAGAAAACACGTTGAAAGCTGGCTTCGGAGAAAGGGTTGGGACTTCCAGGTGCCCCGCCGCACGGAAAAAGTCAGAGCTTCCATGTTTGGCCAAGACAGACAAACAGAGAAGCCAGGCGCTCGGACGGCGCATCGGCAACAGAGCGTTGACTAAGGATTGACCAGCCCCCGCACGCACCAATCAAACGTGCGTCGTGCGAGCGAGCGGCGGGCGACAAATCGACGTCGTGAGCACAAGAAACAAGTTCGTGAGGACACGCTTGGCTAAGGTGAGGAAAGTACAGCGATACCGCTACCCGTCCCTTTGCCGCGGCCGGATTCGCGGAACCCTGACCAGACCGCGCCTCATGGGGAGGTCCGTGGAGTGGTGGTGTTGGTATCTCGTTGGTCCCCCAAGACATCCGATGAGGCTTCTGCTGTTGGTGAAAGCTCCGAGCCGTCGACGTAGCAGAGCTGAGGTGAGCCCACGAAGCTCGAGTTCTACACCAGCGCCTGCACATCTTAGAGACTAATTACGGCCCCCCCGCCGCCTCCCCTGCGGCGCGCGGCCGCTCCCGGCCGCGGCATCGGCGTCCGTCCGTCCGTCCCCCAAGACCTCTGGCGCGCTGTGCTCGCCAGCCGCGGCGTCTTCCCCTCGTCGGTTCGCAGGTGGCAGCCGTCGGACTCCAGGGCAGGCAGGGGTCGAGCAGCCCAGGGGGGCCCGCGCGCTGAGCGCAATCTCGTCGTCGGAGGTCTGGGCCTCCGCCCCGCCCCCCCCCCTTCCCCTGCCACCGCTCCTCCTTTCTGGCAGGCCGCCAACAGGGGCCAGCACCCCCTGATGGGAAAGAGCGTGTTCTACCGCTGCTGGCGGAAAACTGGGGGGGGTCACTACCGGTTCGAACCCCTCCCCCCCCCCCTCCGGAAAACCGGGGGGGGTCACTACCGGTTCGAACCCCTCCCCCCCCCAGTTCATCATGAAAAGGGGGGGGGTCACTGCCGGTTCGACCCCCCCCTCCTCGAACTCGAAAACCGGGGGGGGTCACTACCGGAACCGGGGGGGGTCACTACCGGTTCGAACCCCCCCCCCCCGCCTCGAAAACCGTGGGGGGGTGCGGACAGTGGTGGGGACGGTGGTGGTGGGGACTGGTGAGGGGACAGCGGGACAGTGGTGGGGACAGTGGGGCAGTGGTGGGGCCGGTAGTGGTGGGGACAATGGATGGTGGAAACAGTGGGGACAGTGGGACAGTGGTGGGGACGGTGGTGGTGGGGACAGTGGTGTGGGGACAGTGGGAATGTGGTGGAAACAGTAGGACAATGGAGGGTACAGTGGTGGTGGGGACAGTGGTGAAGGCGGTGGCGAGGACGGCGGTGGGACAATGGGACAGAGGTACAGTGGGGACAGTGGTGGGGACAGTGGGGACAGTGGTGGGAACAGTGGGACAGCTCAGTGGGACAGCGGAGGAGTCAGTGGGACAGCGGGGACAGTGGGGATAGTCGGGCAGTGGTTGGGGCCGTGGAGAAAGTTGGGAGAGTGGAGCCGTGGTGGGAACAGTGGTGGGGACAGTGGGGACAGTGCGACAGTGGTGGTGGCACTGGTGGGGACAGTAGGGGCGGTGGTGGAACCAGTGGGGTCAGTGGTGGTGAGGACAGTGGTGCTGGGAACAACAGTGGGGGATGTGGTGAGGACGGTGGTAGGGACCGGTAGTCGTTTGCTGGCGGTGAGAGGGGAGGGTGGGGAGGGGTTCGAACCGGTAGTGACCCCCCCCTACGGTTTTCGAGGGGGGGGGCTCGAACCGGTAGTGACCCCCCCGGTTTTGAGGGGGAGGGGGGGGGGGTTAGGGGAGGGGGGGTGCCGGGTCCGGAGCCGGTTCCGGCCGGCGCCGGAAAATCGAGTTCCGAGGCGGCGCCGAAAAAAGGCCATTCCAATACACCTTTTTCTTCTGAACATGCTGCATTTTTGCTTCTGGCGCCTGGGAAGCCTCCCTGGCCGATTCCGGCGTGCTTCCGCTCGGTCCGAATCGTGCTCCCGCTGCAGCGCTGGCCTCATTTCCGCGCTTCCGCTCGTTTCGACTCGTGCTCCCGCTGCAGCGCTGGCGTCATTTCCCGCGCCATGCCACGGCATGCAATGCAATGCTAGGTTGATACTACGCTTCGCGGTGCTCTTCTACGCCATGCCATGCCGTGCTCTACAATGCATCGCGTACCCTTTCGGGATCATCGCCCTGCTCGACATCCGGCTGTGCGAGTAGAGAGGGGATCTGCGCCATGGTAAGGGATGGGGGGGAGGGTAGGATGTCAGATATGACGCGAGCGCACCTAGCTTGACCCCCCCCTCCACAATTACACAATATGAAAATATTCTCCCACTTCCCCTGATGGCGCCCCGAAGATATCCGACCCCCCCCGCGTATTGTTTGTTACACAGGATTCCCGGGAAACGGGTTTTCGTTTTTTTTTTTTTTTTTTTTTTTTTTTTTTTTTGTTTTTTTTCTCTCTCAAAATGCTGCTCTCGCTGAGGCGCCGGCCTCATTTCTGCTCCCGAATCGTTCCGAATCGTGCTCCCGCTGCAGCGTGGGCCTCATTTTCGGATCGGTGTTTGGCCTCCGTCGTTCAGGACGGCGTTCTCGCCCCAGCGCGGGCCTCTTTCTCGCGCGCCCATCCGCCCGCCACCACCGCGCCGCCGCACCACCACCACCACCACTACCACCACCACCACCACCACCACCACCACCACCACCACCACCACCACCACCACCACCACCACCACCACCACACCACCACCACCACACCAGCACCAGCACCAGCACCACCAGCACCAGCACCAGCACCAGCACCACACCAGCACAGCACCACCACACCACCACCACCACCACCACCACCCACCACCACCACACCACCACCCACCACCCACCACCACCACCCACCACCACCAACCACCACCACCACCACCCCACCACACCACCACCACCACCACCACCGCGCCGCCACCACCACACCACCACCACCACCACCACCACCACCACCACCACCACCACCACCACCACCACCACCACCACCACCACCACCACCACCACCACCACCACACCACCACGCACGCTACCGACGCGCGCGCGTCTACGACACGCGTCCGCGGATAGAGAAAATCAGCGCCATGGTGAGGGATGGGAGGGAGGGGTAGGACGTCAGATATGACGCGAGCGCACTTAGCTTGCCCCTCCCCCCTCCCCCCTTGCCCTTCCCTCGCTGCCACTCGTTCCCCCTCTCCCCGCCCCCGAAATCCGACGGCGCGAAAAAACTGCAGCAGCGTCGTAAAAAACGCGACCGGAACCCTGGACCCCGTCTTGCTGCAGCGTCGGGTCGATCCGCGAGGGTCCCAGCGACCGAAACGGGGCGAAAAGGCCTTGTGCGATAACGCTTGCAACGCCAGCATCTCAGGGCCCCATCCTTGAGTACGCAGCCGTTCAATGGAGCCTTCGTGTTACGTATCACCTTTCCATTTTTTGCAGAGGGTCCGTGCTAATTCCGCGTCGCTTTCGCGCTCCCGCGGCCGTTGTGCCCTGATGCCGCTAGACGCATTGAGGACGTTGAGCATATTCGAGCGGAGGCGGAGCGAAAGTGTAACACGAGTGGCACGAAATGTGGAGCCCAACGCGAAGGCTCCCAGGAATGGTTGCACAACCATCCCCCTCTCTCCGCGGCCCCCTTCCCCCCCGTGGGGACAGGGGGGGCCCCTGTGCAGAAGGGGCTCCCCATTGTGGACAATGTCGCAGGCTTGGAGGTTGACACCAACACCAATATCGGCGGCGTGCATCCACCGAGGGAAGGATATTCCGATCTCGGTGATGGTGGTAATATTCTGGCTTCCATGGTGGCCGAAATCTTATCACCAGCGCGGAGATCTAGGATCATCTTCTCCCGGTGGAGGCCCCCCCATGGGTTGGTGTTGGTGCCCATTTCTAGGCCTCCAACAATGGGGACAGGGGGAACTCAAGGCCCCTCCCCTTCCCCCCAATCTCCCATGCGCACAAGGGGGGCAAGAGGGTGGCCCCCCTGTGAACAGGGTGAGCTCAAAACCCCTGCAATTGGGGCGAGCTCAAAACCCCTGCAATTGGACCACGCACCCTCCCCAGGGGTCGCCAATGGGGGTCCTGGGGGAGGTTTCCCTCTGAGGAGCTGGCGGGGCTGATCCTGCGGGAGCTCCTGGCCCTGGAGTTGCCTGGGCCGCTGCTGCTGGCGGGGCACTCCTTCGGGGCCAGCGTGTGCCTGGAGGTGGCGCGCCAGGCGGAGCGGGCGGGCGAGCGTGTGGCGCTTGTGGCGCTGCTCGACCCACGCAGCCTGCCGCCCGTCCAGGCCTGGGGGCCTGGGCCTGCTTCCTCGATGCTCGCGGGGCAGGGAGAGAGTGTCTCGAGGCCCAGACCCCCTCGAGTCACGAAAAAAATTCACGACGGGAGGCTTCTCGCCATTTTTTCGGCCCATGGGGGCCTTTGCCGGTCCCCCTGGGCCGTCAACACAGCGACTCGGGATGAGGAACCGGTCCCGGGGAGTTGGTCTAGGCTTCTGGCGGCCAGTGCTATGAAGCAATTACACTCGGAATCAGTGGTAAGGACGTGTCACCTTCCAGAGGGTACACTTTGGTCCAGTCCAGCCTTGTCTGCTTTGGTCCAGCCTTGCCTGCTCGATGGCCCGCCGCGGTCGAAAGAGTTCCAGCACGGGCGTCCAAGGCGCTTTTGCATCCTCATCGCGCGGCCTTGCTGTCCGTTCTGGCTGTGTGGCGTCGGGTAGGGGTCAGGTCCTCGAGATCCTGGCGCCCAAGGGTACCCTTGCATCCGTGCCTCTTTGGTCCAGCCTTGCCTGCTCTTTCGATGGCCCACCGCGGTCGACAGAATTTCGAAGCGCGGGCGTGTCCGAGGCGCTTTTGCAGCCTCCTCGCACAGCCTTTTGCTGTCCGTTCTGAATGCGTGGCGTCGCCAGGGGGGGGGGGGCAGGGTGAAGTCGGGCGTGTCCCTCTACAGGAGGAATATTCAAAAATAGTTGTGGGATGATTTTTCGAGTAATTTTGATCATTTTTGGAGTATTTCTGAACTATTTTGGATTTTTCCTTCGAAATCTGCGGGGACGTGCCCGACCGCAGGCCAGGGCCTCGAGCTCTCCTGGCGCCCGCAGGTGCGTTTTCTCTTCGCGCCGGGCGTGTGTCTGCGACGGGTCTCGGGCCCTCTGGGGCCAGCACGCATGGATCCCGGTCTCTGGAGCTGCCGCAGGAAGCCTCGGCCTCGCGCGGGAGGGGGGGAGGGGGGGGAGGGGGGAAGGCTGCTTAGAAGCACCCCTGCTTCTTAGGAGGCGCGGGCCTCATGTCTCTAGATGCAGGTCGAACAAGGTTTCAAAGCACGGGCGTGTCCAAGGCGCGTTTGCAGCCTCCTCGCGCAGCCTTGCCGTCCGTTCTGCCCGCGTGGCGTCGCGGGGAGGGGGGGGGGCGCAGGGCCTCGAGCTCTCCTGGCGCCCGCAGGTGTGCTCTCTCTCTCTCTCTCTATCTTCGCGCCGGGCGTGTCTGCTGCGGCGGGCCTCGGGCCCTCCCCCAGAGCTCCCCGCGCGGGGAGCAGAACTCGCGATGAGAGGCTTCCCGCTATCTTCGGCCTCCCTCGCCAGGCCGGCTCAGGACCGTTAACAGAACCGCTCAGGACGAAAAGCCGGTCCACGGGAGGGGGTCCAGGCTCCGGGGGGTCCGTTCGTTCCGGTCGGCTCTGGCGGAGTGTTTCGCGGCAGTGCTCTAGCCTGTTTTGCTCTCGTGCGTGCTCGCAGCTCTCAGAAGCTTGTCTCTAGCAGGCCGTTCTTGCAGAGGAGCTCCTGGGGGCCAGGTCATGGACACGTCACGGCGTCGGGGGTCTGGGTCTGGGGCCAGCACGCACCGACCCGGGCTGGGAACTGCCGCAGGAAGCCTCCGCCAGGCGCAGGAGGGGGGGCCAGAGGACGGGAGACAGAGCAGACAGAGAACTTCGGTTTCGATGCTGATGTGCGCCGGGCTTTTCTTTCGTTTTTCATGCCCTGTCTATGGTTATGCTTCGTTTTCACGGGTGTTATTTCTGTTGCTGCCCGTGAGGGCAGCAGAGGTCTTCCAAGTCGAGCTTGCCCCCATCTTGGAGCCTTCTGTCGGCCACGCGCAGAGTGAGGTGTGAGGGAGGGGGGAAAGCCTCTTAGACTTAGAAGCACCCCTGCTTCTCGGGCCTTATCTGTAGATGTAGGGCCGGCGCCTTCTGAGAAGCGGCCTCCTATCAAGAAGCCTTTCCCACCTGCCCCTACCCCCTTTTGCCCCTCTGCCGTCCCCCCCGCCCCTACCCCTTGGATGGGGTCGAGTCGAGGATTCTGGTTTTTCGTTTTTTCGCGATGCTCTTTTTCCCAGCCCTCCTGTGTTGGGTTCTCGTTACGACAGAGCACTGCGGTCGCACACCTTCTTTTTCTCCCTCTCCTTCACACTTACTCAATATGAATACTACTCTCCCTCTTCCCCCGATGGCGGCCTGAAAGTATAAGACCCCCCCCGCGTATTGTTTTTTATAGACAGGATTCCCGGGAGTTGTGTTTTCGCCTGCGTTTTTTTCAAAATGCTGCTCTCGCTGAGGCGCCGGCCTCATTTCTGCTCCCGAATCGTTCCGAATCGTGCTCCCGCTGCAGCGTGGGCCTCATTTTCGGATCGGTGTTTGGCCTCCGTCGTTCAGGATGGCGTTCTCGCCCCAGCGCGGGCCTCTTTCTCGCGCGCCCATCCGCCCGCCACCACCGCGCCGCACCACCACCACCACCACCACCACCACCACCACCACCACCACCACCACCACCACCACCACCACCACCACCACCACCACCAGCACCACCACCACCACCACCACCACCACCACCACCACCACCACCACCACCACCACCACCACCACCACCCACCACCACCACCACCACCACCACCACCACCACCACCACCACCACCACCACCACCACCACACCACCACCACGCACACACGCACGCACGCACGCACGCACGCACGCACGCACGCACCCACTACGCACGCGCGCGCGGAGCCACAGGTCCGCTACGACACGCGTCCGCGGATAGAGAAAATCAGCGCGAGGGTAAGGGATGGGAGGGAGGGGTAGGACGTCAGATATGACGCGAGTGCACCTAGCTTGACCTCCCCCCCTCTCCTCCTCCCACCTCCTCCTGCCTCCTGCTGCGCTGCTCCCTGGGTGGCTGCGAACTGTGCAACTGTCGACACTTTCGTCGGCTCTTGGGAGGCACGGCGGAATCGGGGAGTAAACGGATCATTTGAGACCTCGCAGCTCACTGGGTGGCTGCGAACTGTGCAGCTGTCGCCACTTTCGTGGGCTCCTGGGAGGCACGGCGGAGTCGGGGATTAAACGGATCATTTGAGACCTCGCAGCTCACTAGGTGGCTGCGAGCTGCAGCTGTCGCCACTTTCGTGGGCTCCTGGGAGGCACGGCGGAGTCGGGGAGTCAACGGACCATTTGAGACCTCGCAGCTCCCTGGGTGGCTACCAACTGTGCAGCTGTCGCCACTTTTATGGGCTCCTAGGAGGCACGACGGAGTCGGGGAGTACACGGACCACTTGAGACCTCGCAGCTCCTTGGGTGGCTGCCCATTGTGCAGCTGTCGCCACTCCTCGTGGGCTCCTTGGAGGCACGGCGGAGTCCAGGAGGCCACCTTGGTGTCTTTGGTCTCTTGCATGGGCCGTTTTGGAAGCTCGGGCTCGATCTATTCCCCTGGATCCATTTTTCATCCCGAGTCGTTCTTTGACGGTCCCGAGGGCCGGTAATGGCCTCCAGAGGCCGAAAATTTGGAACAATTTCCCGTCATGTTTTTTTCAATGCCGAGGGGGTCTCGGGACGCGGATCCATCGTTCTCAACAAGGGCTCGTGGCCTCGGGAGCGCGGATCCTCCTCCTCCTCCTCCTCCTCCTTCTCCTCCTCCTTCCCCCCCTCCATCTGACGCTGACGCTGATGTATGCCCTGTTGTCGGCGGCCGAGCCGAGGGTCGATCCGTGAGGGGAGGGGGCCATAGTGGGCGCTCCGAAAGGAACTCGCGAAGCCCCCTCCCCAAAGCGCCTCTCGCCGAGGCGAGGTCTCCCCTTTCTGCGCGTGCTCCTATCGCGAGCAACCCACAGTCGCCGAGATGGCGAGTTTAGGGAGGAGGTGGAGGTTATGTATTTCAGGTTCGGGGGAGGGAGCTAGTCACTATTTGTCAGAACCGCGGCCCGCGCGTACGTACGAGCGCGCTATCTTAGCATTGTCGGCTGCTTGATGGGGCTTTCTGATGGGGCCTTCATGTTATTGAGACACAACGGAGACCTGCGCTAGTTTGCCGATATCGTCGCACGACTAGCCTCCAAGGGGTTAGCACCAGTCGTGGACGACGTTTGGCAGCCGCGTTCACCGTTACAGACTGGTGCCGCAGTCCCCGTGGCGGTGGTTATGCACCAACGCCAGCGTTCCCGTGATGAGCAGGGCGGGAGGGGGGATCCAGAGAGAGCGGCCGCCTGCTTCCTTCGCTCTCTCTCGCCCGCGGTCTGCCTGCATGCGCCGCCCGCCCTCTCTCTCGGCGCGGTCGCCATCTTCAGAGGTGCCCCCGCTTGCAGCTGCTGTCGCATCTTCACACCTGTGCCCGCGGGGGGCAGCGGTCAGGGGGCCCGGTGAGCGTAGTCCGTCGCTAACCACACACCCGTTGCGTGTGGCACCGGACCCCTGAGTGTGCTCCCGGGGGCGCCGCGGCTCGCCAGGTGCTCATGCACCTGCTCGCCGCCGCCGCTTGCCCGCATGCACCATTTGCAGAGTAGCAGGTTGAAATTGCAGGATTGCCGAGGAGGGAGGGTCGAGGATCGAGATGGGTACCATCGCCGTGCTTACATTTTCGCTCCCCCCCTTGCGCGACAGGGCGCCGTTCGTTGGCAGAGCCAGGGCCGTCCGACGCGCCTGTCTTGCTACCGCTGTTGCTATGTAGCGCTGGCCACGGTTTCAAGCAACTATTGAGGTGCCTGCGAGCACCGTGCAGTGTGTCTGACACTATAGTTGTGGTGCAGGAGGGGACATATTATGGGGGGGCTGTGAGGAGCTACTGTACTGTACTTGCCTGCGCGGTGCCCGAGCAGCTCTTTTTTGTCTGAGTAAATATTCTGCTAGTTGCAGCACAGTCTTTCTCTGACCGTCGCCAGGCGAATCGGATGCGCAATCCAAAAATCCCTCATCCTCCGCCTCCTCCTGCTCCTCCTCCTCCTCCCCCCCTCCTCCCGGGTCGTCGCCTCGGGAGGCAGGGGGGGGGGGGCGCGCGCGGCGGTCTGGTCTACTGGGAGGGGGGGGGGCCTTCTTTCGAATGCAGAAGCCAGGCTGGGCAGCAGTTGCCTGGAGGGGAACACAACGCGCAGACACTAATCCACCGTCGAACCTCAGGAACATAAGACACGGGAGGTGCGGGGAAAAGGCGAACGCCAAGAGAATATTTGAGAATACGGTTCACTTGGGTGTCCCAGGGCCCTTTTAGCTTGGCATTCTGTCACGCCTCAGCGCGCCGGGGGGCGCGGCGGCGGCTCGGTGCCTGCTGGGGCCAGCGTTTTCACTCGAAGCTGAGGCCCTCGCCGTGGACGGGACGAAGATGTCCAAACGCTGGCGCTTTTCATCTCGCAGGGCCCGCGGCCGTCAGGATCTTGGCTTCCTGGGGCTCCGACGTCATGATTTTCCCGCGCCGTGGATCCCCGGAGATCTCGACTCTTTCCCCAGGACAGGTGTTTCATCCCGAATCGTTGCTGGACGTCCCTGGGGCCCAGAGAGCTCCAGGATTTTTGACGTTCCCACGAGTTCGCCCTTTCTTTCTTCAGCTTTTGCCTTACTCGTTATCTATTCATCATTTTTGTTCCACTTGTATGCCCGTCGGTGTTTTTGTTTGTTGGGGGGGGGTACAAAGTGTATTGTCTGATCCTTGCCTTTTTCGCCCGTGTTCTGCTCCTTCTGCGCTTTGCAGAAAGTCATTCCCAAGCCAAAACGCGCAAAACCCAGACCATGGTTGAGGCTAACACCAGAGCAGTGCTATACCACATACAGGTACAAACATATCTCAATATTCTCTTGCGTTTTGCTTGTGGACTTCTCGCGGCCCAGATGGGCGGTCGTGCCCCCCCCCCCCCGCGCTCGTTGTGCCGAGGGAATCCAAGGTCCTCGCGGGCAAAGGAGGTGCATCGGAACCAACGCGACGACGTGGGAGGGGCGGGAGTAAAGCGAGGACGAGGGGAAGATGGTGAACAGGAGGAGAAAGGAATATGGAGCTGCCCGTTGAGCACTGCGCTCGAAGCAGGCGTGGCCCCTCAGTGTGCGCAGTGGGCATTCTATACGCCCGCGTGAAGAGCACTGCGTCCGGAGGAAAAAGCAGGTGTTGCGCTGAAGAGCACAGGCATTGCGCCTTGATCGCGCCACTGGGCATTACGCCCATTTGGAGAGCATTGCGCCCAGAGTTTTAGATTGTTACACCTCACATTCCAGAGCGGTGCGCTCTCCTCTCCTCTCTTATGGGTATAACAACAGCATGACGCCCTGTTGAGCGGATCCCCCATATCACCCTCACCCTAAGCATGCATTGCGCCTTGAAGTGCGCCCCTGAGCATCGCACCGATGCAAAGAGCAATGCGCCCCACATGTCTTTGAGTATCGCACTCCCTTTCCCAATGCTTATCGCCCTGTTTTGCAACTGCATCGCCCGCATGACAATGAGGAGGAGGAGTAGGATGATGATGATGATGAGGAGGAGGTGGAAGGCTTACGAAACCGGACCAGGCGTTTGTTTCCTGTTTGATGGTATAACGTATTTTTTTCTCACTCTGGTGTAGAATGCGCACAACACCTGGCCGTGCATTGGTGATATTTCCTTGGTTTGGGAGCTCACGAAACCTGACCAGGCGTTTTTGTTTGTGTGTTTAGTGTTTGTATGGTTTTTCCTTGTCAGAGGGCTCACGAAACCTGGCCTGGATTGGGGTTAGAGGAGCGCAGTTTTCTCATACTTGGGGGTTCACGACACCTGGTCCGTTTCCCCCCCCCCTTCTCCCGGTTTCGGAGCTCACGGAACCTGGCCAGGCGCCGTTTCTTCATTGCCTTCATAGTCTGGCGGCGGCGTTTCGCAAACCACCAGCCCCATAAATCAGGTCTCGTGAGCCCCAGAGAGAAAACAAACGCATGGCCATGTTGGCAACAACAACCAAAACAACCAACGCCTGACCAGGCTTCGCGCGCCTTCAAACAATAGAAAACTGCGTTTCGCAAGCCCCCAGGTCAGATCTCGTGAACCCCCAAACCAGAAAAAACTAGAAAGACCAACGCCTGGCCTGGTTTTGTGAGCTCCGAGACCGGACAAACCAGAAAATCAATGCTTGGCCAGGTTTTAGTCAGCACCGCTGCTTCCACTCCTTCCCAAGAGGGCCCCCCGCGGGGCCCCCCACGGCGCTCCTTGGACCACCGGTCCCTAAGCGTCACCGCCCCGAAATTTTCCAAGCCTCCCGCCCCATGGAGCGGAGCGACACGCTACCCGCCCGCAAGGGGTCCTTAAACGTCAACGTCCCGAGCCTTTCCCAGCCTCCCGCCCCATGGAGCGGAGCGACACGCGACCCGCTCGCAGGGCGAACCTCGTCGCTGGGGCCTCCGCGGCGGCGGCGCGTTGAGCAACAGTTTTTCCGACCGTGCGCGGAGGCAAGCTCCACCAACCACAACAGTGAGGTCATAGCAGTGGTTGAGGACGAGCAGTGGCAGAACAGTGGTGGCGCACCGATCTGCGCTGTGATTCCAGATCTGGGGCCTGTCTAGGTGTCTTGGGGTCGTTTTGGCGGTTTGGCGGGTCGTCTTGGGGGTCATTTGGGCTGCCTTTGGGGTCTCTCTGGGCCGTCTTGGTGGCTTCTTGGGCCATCTTGGACGGCCTCTGGGGTTTCCGAAAGGGGAGGGGGCCGATGGCAGGAGGAGGAGGAGGAGGAGGAGGAGGAGGAGGAGGAGGAGGAGGAGGAGGAGAGGAGGGACGAGGGAGGAGGAGGAGGAGGAGGGAGGAGGAGAAGGAGGAGGAGGAGGAGGAGGAGGAGGAGGAGGAGGAGGAGGCCGCTCATATCAGGCCGCTGCGCACGGGATCCCGGGCGCGGCCGGCCTCCACGGCGCGCTGGCCCTGCTCTCGGAGGCCGCGCCGGACGGGGCGCGGTACGCCGAGCACCTGGAGGTGCTGGCGGGCGTCCCTCCCAAACCTCCTCGCGTTGTTAATGAATCGCGACGGCAGGTTTTTCATCATTTTCGGCCTTCCGGGGCCCTCGCCGGGCCTCGGGACCGTCAAACAATGATTCAGGAGGAAAAACCGGTCCCTGGGAAGGGGTCCAGGCTCCTGGGGGTCAGGTCATGGAAAAATCACGACGTCGGGGGTCTGGGCTAAGGGCTTGGCGACTTTTCGCCAATCGACTTGTGGGGATCGAGCCAGACACGTCCAGGTCGATGGAGATGCATCGAGGCAGATCCAGGCAGATCTTGTCAAATCCAGGTGTATCCAGAGATCTCCAGGGAAAGTCGTGGCACATCGCGGCCGCTCCAGCGCGAGGCGAGGGACGGCAGAAGTCGTTAAGCCCTTAACCAGGGCGGTCAAGAGTCTTGGCATAGCTCGGACGTGTTTGTTTGGGTGCGGCAGGGACCATCGAGAAGCATTGTGGGCTGTCTTGCTAAACAAGAGACATTCACGAAACCGAGAAATGCACGGGGAATGGAGTCGGGTGTTGCTAGAAGTGCCCCTGGCCCAAGGTGCGCCAAGGATTTCCAAGGAGACCCCCACTGCCTCCAGAGCGCCCCTCACGAGGCCCAGAGAGCTCCATGGGCGTAGAGCGGAAAACTGGGGGCACCTTTGGCCAGGGGCACCTGTAGCACCCACTGAACGAGGGGGGTGGTGGCCAGGGGCCTGGGACGGGGTCTCGGCCGTTCGAAGGTCCTGGTGCGTCTCTCGGTACAGGTACCCACAGCGGTACCCTTTCTTCGTTCTCGCCTTTGTGGGCCTCCTGGGTGGCCCTCGTCGCCACCGCTGGATCCGCTTCGAAATTCTGGTCAGAACGCACCTCGGGAGATGTCCGGAGAGTAACGGTATCGGTACCTTTTGGTTTCCCCAGTTTCGGCGGTCTGAGACAACCTTTTGTGGATGGAGGCGGGTGCTCCGAGATATTACTTAGGGACAAGGGAAAGACTCGGCCAGGAAAAACTCGGCCAGCTGATTTCGGCCAGGCCGACCTGGGCCCAGCTTGGCCGAGTTCAGCCTGGCCGAGTTCAGCTTGCCGAGTTTAGCTTGGCCGAGTTTTTCCTGGCCGAGTTTAGTTGCTGCCCTAGGGGGGGAGTTATTATGGCCGGGGCCATGATATCTTCTCAGATTTCATAGCTTCTCTTCTGCTTTCAATGCGTCCCTTGGTCCCCGCCTCGTGTCCGCGCACATGCCTCGGACCATGGTTTGTGAAGCCCCTCTTGGGCACCCTCCTCTTGGTTATATCCGAGAGGCGCTGGCGGGCGTGGATCCCGCCTCGCATGACGAGGCGCTGCGGAAGGCGCATGGGGTGTCGGCGTTGGCGTCAACGTCGTCGTCGTCGTCGTCGTCGTCGTCGTCGTCGTCGTCGTGGTCGTGGTCGTGGTTATCGTCATCGTCGTCGTCGTCGTCGTCGTCGTCGGCAGCGGCGGCAGCGGCGGCGGCGTCGGCGTTTCGAAGGTCTGGGGTGAGGGCTATCCAGACGCGCTCGCGCTGTAACAAAAGTTCCGACGGGACGTTTCTGGCTGTTTTTGGCCCCCTAGGGGCTCTGGCTGAGCCCCAGGACCGTCAGAGAACGACTCGGCATGAAAAACCGGCCCCTGGTCCCCAGACATCGGGCGTGTCGATTTTTTGGAGACCCAGGCCCCCGACCTCTCGACCATTCGCCCGGGACTGGTTTTTCATCCCGATTCGTTTTTTGACGGTCCCGAGGCCCGGTAAGGGCCCCGAGAGGCCGAAAACGATGAAAACACAGGTCTCGATTTTTTCGAGACGCTGGATGTCTGGGTCAAGTGTCGGGACTTCTGGAAAAAGTCAGGAGCCCTGCTGCCGATGGCGAGGGGGGCGTCGGAGGAGGGGGCGGGGGAGGGTTGGGCCCCGAGATCCTGGCGGCACACATGTTCCGCAGCGGGCGACTTTGCCTTGCTTCGGGCGCCACGGACCCTCACGGATGGATCCGGCGCGAAGAGTGGCGCAGACAGATGGGGTTTGGGGCACTGGTCGTGACCTTTCACGATGTTGCAGTTTTGGCCAGTGGTATGTGCGTGTGTGTGTGTGTGTGTGTGTGTGTGTGTGTGTGTGTGTGTGTGTATGTGTGAGTGTGTGTGTGTGTGTGAGCTCGTGTGTGTGTGTGTGTGCTTCCTCTCACGTCACTCGCGGCTGGCAGCTTGGATGTGCTCTATGTGCTCTCCTCGATTTCACCCTCTCTTGCGCGACCTGCATGTGCTGTTGAATTATCTCACTCATCCACTCGCCTGCACGCGGCTACGCCAGGGAAGCGTTTGCGAAAAAGTGTCCAGCCTCAGCGCTTCGCGACGGTTTCGTCACCTCCCCGCTGGAGGAATACAGTAAATCTGTGTTTTCCCTCACATGTGCTCGCCTAGCGCAGCCGCCACCCCCTCCTTTCTGCCCGCGACTCGCCCTTTGGAGTCCTTCCAGCTGGGACGTCAGGTGGAATTGATGCTAAGCGTGCCCCCCCTCAGCTCCTCGCCGCAGTGACGCCATTCGGCCGCTGGATTAAACGTGTGTGTGTGTGTCGTCGCTAGCCTGCGCTGGGCACTGCCCCCCCCTCGGGCGCCTGCCTCTGACTGCCCCTTGCTGGCCTACCCCCCCAGTTGCCGCCTCGCCGCCGCTGGGCCCCCCTCCCGGCGCCGCCCACCCGCCGCCGCCTGGCCCCGCTGTGAGCGGGTCCTGCTTCCCCCTCCCTCCTGCCCGCGCCGGGCGTTCCTCCTCTCTCCCCCGTGCAACGCGGCCTAATTTGCATCTGTTCGTCCAACCTGTGCTCTTCCGCCAGCGCAGTCACTCTGCTTAGCCGCCGGCACAAAAAGTGTGTGTGCGTGCGTGCGTGCGTGCGTGCGTGCGTGCGTGCGTGCGTGCGTGCGTGCGTGCGTGCGTGCGTGCGTGTGTGTGTGGTTGTGTGTGTGTGTGTGTGGATCTCAGGTTGTCAGTGTCTCACGTGCAATGCCTTCGGTATTTGTTATCCGCATCCGTCACCCGCTTGCCGGTTGACCTCCCATCGGCCCGCTTTCAATGGTGAGCGTTCTTGGCGCGTCCCTTATCGCCCTCGCTGCGTTGGACCAGCCGGCCGCGAAGCTAAATCGTGTATGTGTGTGTGTGTGTGTGTGTGTGTGTGCGTGCGTGTGTGTGTGTGTGTGTGTGTGCGTGCGTGCGTGCGTGCGTGCGTGCGTGTGTGTGTGTGTGTGTGTGTGTGTGTGTGTGTGTGTGTGTGTTTGTGGATATCTCAGTATGTAACTCCCAGGATGTCGGACTTATCTTCAGTGCTGGTGTATCCCTGGTCGAAAACTTGCTTAACCTAGCCCAGTCTCGTTTACTATGCTTCAACCCGCTTGCTCTGGCCTGGTCCTGGTCAGCGCGGCGTAGCCTAATGTGGGCTGGTCCAGCTCATCGATCCTTTTCGTCGGGCGTAGAAGCCTTTCTTTAGCGGCGAGCCTGGGGAGGAAATGAGAAGGAGAAGGCCTTTTCAGAAGGCTCGGGACCCCCCGGCTTTCCGATGAGTTTTCCAAGCCTCCTGAGGACACAGCAAGCTTCTCAGCAGGCGCGAGGGTTCCTGAGAAGTCCCGCCGCCTTCTGAGAAGGGCTTCTCCTTCTCCTTTCCCTCCTCGCCCGTCGTCGACTTCTTCGTTTTGGTCTTCGTTCTGGCAAAAACTTTCGGGGAGCTGCCTCCTCAGATTGCAGGCCAACTGCGTCCCGTGGCCCCCTCGTTCTCGTCCGCGCGCGCGCCCCCGGGCCACGATGTGCTGACCGAGCTCTCCTCCTGTCCCTCCCCCTCTTCCTGGCATCGCTCGGGCGTGTGCTCGTTTTCTCGCCGCGTGCCTTCGAGCAGTGTCCTGGCTCCCCCTGCGCGACACAGAGCGCACTACACCGAAACACGGCACGGGGATGGAGCGTCCGAGCGATGACGAGTTCTCGGCGCGCCCCGGAGCGAGGCGTTGGGCCCCGCGGCCCTGAGGGCCCTGGAGCACGTGCGCGACACCTCCGAGTGGTACGCCGGCCTGCTGGACTGGCAGAGCGGCGCCGGCCTGCTGGACGCGTCGAGGGGCAGAAGAGTGAGCTCACAGTCGGGGCGCGGAGGGGGGAACCCTTTTCGGTGGGGAGGGGCTCCGTGTTCCCTCGTTGCTTCACAGTTTTGCCTCAGGTTTTCCTCGGGTCTTCGACGGGGAATCGAAGGTTCAACTTGTGGAAACAAGGGGCCTCGTTCCTTACAGAGGGTTCCTTGAGTCAACGCCCCGACTGTATCTGCCCAGGCGTGTTCGCGTCCCCATATGGGGGCAGGCAGCCGAACTTCTCCCACCTCTTCCCGTGGTGAAGAAACTGACGACGGGAGGCATTCGGACCCCGCATGGGGGCAACTCGTGGGAGGTCTTTGTAAGAGCGGTTTGCCCCGACGGCCTCTCGTTATGACAAAAGCGCGCCCCGCAGGAGGCAATTCTTCGGAGGTCTTCGTAAGAACAGTTCGCCCCCACCGCTCCTTGTTGTGAACAAATCGCGACGGGAAGGTTTCGGGCTCTGCAGGAGGCAATTCTTTGGAGGTCTTCGTAAGAACGGTTCGTACCCACCGCCTCTCGTTGTGAAAGAATGACGACGGGAGGTTTTTGGCCATTTTTGGCTTCCAGGGGCCCTACCTGGGTTCTGGGATCGTGCAAACACCGGGTCTGGATTAAAAAAACAATTGTCCCAGGGAAGGGGTCTGGATCTGGGTTATCCGATGTGTTTTCGATGCCTTCCGCTCCCAGGAGGCAACCTGGGAGGCCTCGCTGGCAGGGTGCATTTCGATCCGATCGGTCCGATGCAGTATCGATTATGGCCGACCCGATCCGAGTCGGTCCCGATATTCCGAAGATCCGAGGCTGCCCGATGCTTGCATGGCGCTGCTGCGCATCCTGTCGCCGTCCATCCAGTTCGATTCC